GCTGCAGATAGCTTCAGAGCACTGTGTCTTCAATCCCTGCTCCACAAGTGAGGCCCCAAAACCTATAGAATTTTATGGCACAAAGAGTGAACCTGAATATATGCAGATTAAGAAAAATGTCGTTGTGGCAGTAGAGGGAATCCCAGGATGAAATGAAGAGTGTGACAAAAGAATAACTATTGCAAACATATAAAGTCTTCCAACTGAAGAAGGTGGGGAAATTTGCCAGCCTAAGTACCTTTGAAAATGAGTGGTCTGTAAGACTAAAAGCAAAAGGAACTGTTCTTAAGTTCTGAACTCTGGTAAAGTTTTTTCTCATAGACGTAGAAGTTAACAATTCTGAAACTGCTAACAAGTAAACTGGGATAGAAAATTTTAATAAATAGAAGACATTATCTCACTGTTGGAGTGAGAGGTTACAGATAAGCAAGAGGAAAAGGCTAGCTTGATCCATGTAATGATGGATTAAAGTTAGAAACATCAGTATGGACTAATTTTTAGCTTAGCTTAATACAGATACTGATGATTACATACAGAAATTCATACTGATATGTATATACAGATGACTTAGATATACACATGTGTTTTTGCTCTGTCAGCTGTGAGAACCTTTTGCAGAAAAACAAAGTCAGTCTTCTAAGAACAAAATTAGTCTCATTTGACAATTTTTTTGACAAAAAGGACTGATTAGATTATGTGATGGGCATTTTCCATAAATTGAAAAAACTTAAATCAGCAGCTCCAAATCTTTGATGAAAACATATCTGAAACAAAAGATAAAATAGAAACACTTGATTTTTAAAATGTGTCAGTAAAAATTCATTCATATAACATTTCAATTTTTTCAACCCTTTCCAAATGTAGCTAGTGAAATCTGTTAAATGTAAGTGAAAAAGTAAATAAGTATAGTTACTAGTCAGCTAAAGTCTTTTTGATATAATTCCTAAAAATTGAGTAAGTGAATGACTAGTGAAGAGTAACTAGTCCTTTTTCCAAGTCAGATGGTTTCCCATCCATTGCTTTCAACAAATTCTAAGGAAAATCTAATCAGATAGTCTGATAATAGATCATAAAAAGGAATTTCTGATAGAACACTCCGATTTTTGGCAATCAACTCAGAAGGAGTTCAACTAATTAAATGATAGTGCTGTTATGACTCCACAATCCCACGGTCTTACATGTTTGAACAAGTTCCTCAGTGTGTATATCTATAAAAATAAAGATAGAAATAGATTGATGCTGAATTCTCATTGTAGCAACAAGTAGTATTCTTCCATACATATATGGGAAGGGGGAAATTCCAGCTCATTCAATGGTGGAATTTCATAAAATTTGCCTTTCTTATGTATCCAATTTGTTTATCAAAATGCATAAAATATTTGTCTTGAACAATTTTATACTTCTAATAATGGTTACAATAACAATCCAAAGAAATTTTGGGATGGCAGACCCAACAGGCTAATACATGAGCATTTTATCTGGAACCTGAAGTACCTCTCTAGCATCTCAGCTTGCTGTTGGGCTCCATCCTCCATCGCCACCCATCCACACATCCACCACTTACTAATTTTGAGACCCTGGACAACCTAACCTTTCTGTACCCAGTTTCCTGTCTGTATAGTGATGATAATATTATCTCCCTAGCGTTGAGTGAGGATTATATGTGATTATCCACATAATGCATTTAACACTGTGTGGACATAAAAACATTCAATAAATGCTAGCAGCTACACTGCAGTCATAAGGCATTAACTGCCATTCCCCAAATGCATGCTGTTTGTTTTGCTTCCATGAGTTAGCCCATGCTGACATGTCTGCTTGGAATGCCTTTCTCCTACTGCTTCACCTAGCTAACTCTTGGTTCTTTCAAAACTGAAGTCCTGATGGACACAGCTCTGATCCTCCCCATCTGGGGCACCCCTCTGAGCTCCCACAGCACTCTGTGCTCGTCTTTACCAAGTGAGAAGCCATTGCAGTTTTAGGCAGAGGAGTGACCTGATCTGGCTTGATTACCTACAATATGCCAGGCACTGTTGTTGTTCTAGATTCTGTGTCAAAACCGGAATAAAAAGAACACTTAGCTCATAGGTTACTAGGAGGATTGCAAGAGATAAAAGACATATTATCTGGCATGTGATATTCAGTAAATGCTATAATTATCTATAAATAGTCAGGATACTCCCTCACATCTGTTGATATCTTTGGCCAATAACTCATAATCTTTTAAAACACAATTTCCACTGGCACCCTGGATGATGATCTTTCTCCTACACTGCAATTCCAGTAGTTTTCGGGCACCCCCATCATGATATTGCTGTTGGATCGTTGGGCTTTTGCAGACTGAGTAGATTGTGTATGACCATAGGGAGAGATTCAGAAAGCCTAGGTGCAATTTTCCATTAGCTTGAAAGAGAGAGAGTACATTCTTCCTCCCTACCCCACATAAGCAACAAGTCTCTTCTGTATGACTGAGTCCTTGGAAGATAAAGGCAGAGCAGGGAAAGGGAGGGCTGGTTGGAGATGATAGTTTTGCTGGCACAAGATAAGGGCAGGCATCTTTGTAAGTGTCAAAGAGAGGAAATTACAGCTGCAGTCCTTCTGGCAGCAAGGAGGGAATGAGAGATTAGTGATTAAGACATCCCAGCAAAAGTCAGGAGACTGAGAAACAGGTGCTGCCCACAGATAGGGCTCAACATGACTAATCTTCACAAAGGTTGTTCACCGATGATGAGACGAGAGTAACCCTATGCAGGTGTGTGCCCCTTCCTGCTAGAAAAAGGGATGTAAAACTGATGACTCAAGGGCAGGGCCTGGAAGTCAGGGCTCTCCCTAACTCCTTTCACTCAAGGCAGCTCTGCTTTTGTCCATTTTATTAGGTATTTCACTTATAACTGCTTTTGCAAAAAGTGTTCTAGTGCCAAACCTTTGTGGCTCTCCTCAGTAAATCACTACACATTTTACTTTCCATAGAATACAGCTGCCATTGAGGCGTGGCGACAACAAGCCTCATCTCCTGCCTTTTAGCCTGCGTGGATGTGTCCTTTTTCCTGTTCAAAGCTAATGCCACTGCTCATGCTTGATCCCATCTCTTTCTCATTTCCTCTGGGTCTCAGTGTGATTGGTTTTCCTCCCTACTGGGTGGAACCACATTAAGTTGCTGTTGGGACATTTGGCAATTCTGGAACATTGACCATTTCACATGATTCAAGCTAATATATTTTCATTCTTTCCCTCCCTAAATGTTCCTTATCCTCAACCAAATACAATTATTTTTTAAAGATGTATTTATTTATGCATACAAGAGCTGGGGTGCAGGCCAGAGGTCGGAGGTGGTGGTGAAAGGATTCACCAGAGACAGGGTGGGGAGCAGAACAGGCGGGTCTTCTGAAATACACTGCTGAGGGGAGCAGCCGGGGAGATAGGAGAGGTCTGCTGTGCATGTGGGTCACCTCCCTGGCCAGGGATCAAACTCATGCTGTGGTGGCTAACAATAGCTTCATAGTGCTGAGACTTCACCCCTTGCACCACCAGGGAGGCCCTCCAAACAAATACAATTAAAACAAAACATCTTTATACAGGTAAGATTAACCTCTTTGTAGCTGTTTCTCTTAACAGCTGAACTGAACTACTTCCAATAAAACTGAACTACTCACTGTGGCCCTGCCTATCTCCAAGATTCCCTGCCTTTCATAAATTTGCTCAAACTAATTTGCCCTATCTGCTGAGGTGAAAAGATGGCCCCTAGGCCCCAGGCCTTCTCTGATTCTCTTAGCTGAAGGTCATCTCTTCTTCCTCCTCTGAACTGCTGTGGCACTTTTAAAAACTGTGGTTCAATATAGGTACTACAAGATTTACTATCCTAACCATTGTTTATTTAAGTAACATTGTGCTATAATGTTATGTAAGTTTCAGGTGTGCATCATTTAGACTCAACATGTGCATACTCTATTAAGTTCACCGCTGAAAGTCCAATTATTTTAACCATTTTAAGTGTGCAGCTTAGTAGCATCATCCATCTCCAGGACTTTTTCATCTTACTGGGTACTTGATTTGGTGCCTATGTTATGGAGCACGGTGGTTTCTGCCAGGCAGTATAGCTATTTGTGTACCTGCTTTATCATCTTACCTATGTTGTAAATTCATTTATGACAAGATCTAGGTCTAACTCATTTTTGAAATGCTTCCAAAATGCTTGGAGTCATGTTTAATTTCTGTCTCTCCCGGAATCCCGTCAGCAAAACCTGTCATCTCAATTTTTAAAATCTATGCAGAATATCACCAATTCTCAATTCCATGTCTAGGACCTACGTCCATCTCTCCTGGAGTGGAAACGCTTTCTCGCTGGTCGTCCAGCTCATGTCACTGGCCCTGCCGTCTATTCACAGCAGTCAGTTATCCCGATGAGTCAGATCATTGTCATTTCTCTGCTCAAATCCTTCAAGGACTCCAGATTTCACTCAACAAAAAGCCAGATTTATAAAGACCTACAAAGCCAGCCACCAAAATGACCTCTAACAATCCTCCCCTGTTGCTGTCCATGCCCTAGAACCTGGGCTATAATAACAATTCAACACGTTCGCTGCCTTCTGTTTGTCCTCCCTGTTACCTCTATTCCTCTACTTCTCAACCCCAGGGCACAGCAGGTAAAAACCGTGGGAAAAAAACACCTAGAGATTCAGAGAGGAAAGCTGGACCTGGGGGGCGGGGACTGCGAGGTGCCCGTTGCGCATGCGCGCCAGCTCGGCTTCCAGCTGGGGGGGGAGGGGGTGGGGTGGGGGGACGAGGGAGTCATTGGTCCTAGCTGCCCCCTTCCGGCCCCGGGAAGTGGCAGGACCTTGGCTGTGGCCCGAGCGGGCTCAGCGCCAATCGGGGGACGCTGGGCCGTGGGGTAAGTTCGAAAATGGCGGAGGGGGAAGAAGGAGGGGCTCTGCAGGGCGGGAGGCCGGCCGGCCGGTGGGGGCTGTGGGAAGGACGTTGCTGGGGGTGCCCAGGGGCGCCGCCCGGACAGCCGCACTGACTGACCGCGCCCGATGTGTCGCTGAGGCCCTGACGTGCCCGCACTTCGGTTCCGGACTCGTGGTTCCCCCGGGGCATGGGCGGACTGGCCGGTGCGAGTGAGGGAGACGAGGGACTTCCGTTTCCTTCTAGGCTGGGGCCCAGCGGCGCAGCGGAGTTGGCCTTTCCAGATTGTGGCTCGGGTGGCCCATCCTTCAGCACCCTCCCCTCGGGACCGCGCAGGGCGCCGCGGGCGATCCGGGCCGGCTCTCCGGGCGCGGTGGGTACTTTGGCTACAGGTCACCCCTCCCTTCTCATCTGCTCTCCTCTCCCCTCCCCTGTCCTCTCTCGTCTCCACTTCCACCCCCCCTCGGGCTCCTTGCTACGGGGGAGAGAGGAAGGCCTAGCCCGCCAGGCGGGGGTGGCCCGACTGGGGCTCCCGGCCTGGGTAACCCGGTCCGCCGAAGGAAAGCGTGGAGGGGCGGGTGGGTGGCTACGGCCGGCCTGGCTGCCTCCCTAAACACTCGAGACCCCTGAGGTAGAACGAGTCAAATAACTTTTTCTTAAAAAATGATCAAAGGAACCGCCCCCACCCCAACCCCTCCCATCTGATGCCTGTGGCTTGTGAGCTGCGGGTGGAATGTGTGGCGAGGGTGTGTGAAACTGAAAGAATAGAAGTCAAGGATCTTCCGGAAGAGGAAATTGAATAGTAATATTTGCTATCCTAGTCACCTCCCTAGCATATTGTGTGAGTAAAACAAAATTCAATCTAACTTTCAGTTTCATTTATTTTCGCCCCATATACACTTAATAGGTTTCTTGGAGGGGGGCGAAAGGGGGAGTGGTTATTGCTGAAACTAAGCAACCGCCCTCTCCACCTCCAAAAAGAGAAAACGTCAATCAAAGCTTTTCTAAAACCTCAGATTTTAATAATCTACTACTTTGCTTCCAAATATAATGATGTCACTAGTATTGTCCCAACTATACCTTGATAGTTGACACACAGGGTTTTTTTTGTAAGACCGGAGGGTGCTATAGTGTTTCTTTCTTATTTTACTTAACATTTGTTAGAACCAGTTCGAGAGAACACTGTTACAGACGGCCATCTTAGAATTCTAACATTTTACAGTTGGAAAGAATCTGTTATTTTAAAAAAGCAGAAACTAAAGCACAGAAAGTTTTCAGGCTTGCCTAAAGTTAACCGACTACTTAGGTTAGCACCCAGGTTGACTGCTTTCTTGCTCACTGCTCTTTGCAGCTGCTCCACATAGTTTCCAAGCAAGGAAAATAAATGTGTTAAATTCAGTGCCTATTTCTGAAGCTCTTCCACATTGTGCTCTGCACTGTCCACAACTTGTGCATGTTTACTTATGAGGTGGGTGCTTGAGATATTTTTCACCATCATTCAAGGAGTGGCAGCAGTTTCAGATTTAAAATATTTATATATATACAAATGCACATATGTATACTTGTGTGTGCTCAGAAAAATGAAGGATACATAGGAAAAATGTAACCTGTTATTAATGGAGGATGGAAAGGGATGGGAGGCACTTTGCAAGTAGCCTTGTGTTACTATTTCAATTTACCATTAAGTACTTTTTACTTAAAAGCCTTTTAAACTTCACACACGTGTGTATCAATATAAATAAGTATCCATGGTATTAGAGAAGAGGGGAGGCCAAGCATATCAGACTGCAGCAGGCTGAGGGGCCTGTGTGTGTTCTCTTTACATGGTATGTATATGTTTATATGCATGTATGTATTCATGTATCAGTGGTTTGTTGTAAAATCCAGTGTGGTTCTTGTCAGCCCAACTCATAGCAAAGCCGGCCTGATTATTAACATTTCTTCTTTGGTTTTGTCCTATTGTTCTAATATAAGATGGTAAAAATAATATCTATTACTAGTTAAATATTTTTACAAATGTGCTAAGGTTTTGATTATCGAATGAAGTAGTGTAGTGTAGGAAAATAATTTTCTTCTACCCTTCTAACATCTAAGCTGAGAAACCTTGTAACTTAAATTAAAAAGTTCAGGTCAGCACAAGAGAAACCAAAAAGTTCAATGACATGTATACGGAAAGACCCAGGAAACTCCCTGAATTGTCTCAGGCCATCACCTTAAATACCATCTTCATTTAAAGACAGAATGTTGAGGCTTAGGATCTGAGACTAAAAGGGGGAAACACAATTTACAGGGAGATGGGGAAACCAACAGGAATTTTTAACAAACTTACTTGGTGAGGTTTCCCCCAATCAGCCACATTTAGTTCATATTCTTGGTAGATACCATCACTGATAATATTTCTTTTTCTGAAACAAGGAAGGAGACACCTTTAAAAATGGAGATTTTCCCCTTGTACATGTAAATGTCTCTTGCAGAAGAGTCTCTTCTCAGTTTTCAAAGCTCTTCCTATGGTCACTGTATCTTAAAAATAACCAGCTCAAAATAATCTCTTTTGGTAGTAGCAAGCTATAAAATTTAGGACATCAAATTTGGCATAATAAAAATATCTGAATGTAGAATCTTTGTGGATAAGAATCATTAAAAAAAAATTAAGACCAGGAAGGCCCATGGTGATTCAGCTCTTTTGTTTTTATGAATAGGGTAATTAAGACTCGAAGAAGGAAAAGTAAGTTGCCCAGGTTTTATATCTGATTATTAACAGAACTTGGACTACAGTCTAGGTCCTAGTTCAGTGCCCCTTGTACAACATTTGTAATTTTATTGCTTTCTAGTGCTTTCCATGGCTTGGGCTAGGCTGACAAAGTATTGCTGATTAAAGGTTAGTCAGGCTCATTTCAATAGATAAAAAATGATTATAACTGATGTACCAAATAAATTGTATAAAAATTATTATAACAGATGTACCAAATAAATTGTATAGTGTTTTGAAGTATTTTAATTACATAAGTGTTCCCCTTATATTTTGTTGTAAATATTAATTTATTTAGTAAATTCTTTGTGTACATTGTAAATCCTTTTTAGATCCTAAATATGGAGTAATGATATTTCCATTTTTCTTGTGTCTAATATTTAAGCCTGGTAGGTAGTGCTAACAGAAAATAATAGTATGTTTTAGAAATAAACATTATTGAACACCTACTATATGCTAGGCCTTATATTATACGGTAAAGTTCCAATGTGGCAAAATAAATGCCCTTGTACAGTTGAGGCTGGGAGATTATCATGAGCTGTCAAATTCTCAAGCTTTTCTCTCTGTGATCTAATCTGATAATAGTATTATAAAATCTAATCTGTAATGCTGTTTAAGGTCATTGTGTGAGTAGTTTAGAGGAGACAAAAACAGTTGTGATAAAATAAGAAATTTATTGACCTCTAATATTTTCACATCTTAGAGGTCATGTACCATGGAGAAGGAGCCCTGGATCCAATGCCTGGGCTCTTGTTTTGATTGTTTCCAACCAGCTGGGGGGTTGTAAGTAAGTCACTAAACCTCTCAGGTGTTTCCATTTCTTTTTCTTTTTTTCATAACTTTTTGGGATGTTTATTACATTTAATTCAAAGCATCAAATAGTATTTTGAATATTTTAAATTATAAAAATATGTCACAGAAAACTTAAGATATTCAGAATAGCATAAACAGAATAAGTCAATATAACCCACGTTCTTTCATATTTCTTTCTTTGAGGGTTATATCATATGAAAATTGTTTTAATCATTTTTCTCTCATTCAGCATTCTATTTAGCATTCTTTCAAAATGAAGTTCTTATTTAACTGTGTATTATTCCATGCCCTAGTTCCTTCATCTGTAAAGTAACAGGCTTGAGCTAGTTGATTCAAAACCCATTGTAGTATTTTTTTAAAATGATTATCTCAAATTTCATCAAGGAACAAAAAATCCCAGATAACTTTCCCAAATCTGTTTGGAAGAAATCTCAAGTAAAGGGACAAGACACTAATAACAAGGTGGAGATACAAACCTTCATAATTTTTTGGTTTATCCCTTAAATGTTCATGTGCTAAGTGTAGGTGACCCTTGAACAACGTGGGTTTGAATTTCACAAGTCCACTTATATGCAGATTTTTATAAATTCCAGGTTCCACATTCAGGGATTCAACCAACCCCAGAGGTCAATTGGTTGTATATGCACTTGTAGAACACATGGATAGAGAGAGCAGACTATAAGGTACCTGAGTACCTTATTTTGGTTTCTAGAGGGGCGGGGAAATTTGGTTTTCCTAAAACCAACCCTCCCTTGCAGATACAAAGAGAACCGCAGTTAAACTTTGGGGGAGGGGCCTCCCTGGTGGCAAAAGGGGTTAAGACACAACCTATGAAGCTATCCGCAGCCACTACAGCATGAGTTCCATCCCCGGCATGCCAGGGAGCAACCCACATGGCGCAGCAGACCTCTCCTGATTCGCCTGCTGCTCCCCTCAGCAGTGTTTTCCAGTCATTCTGCCTGTTCTGTTCCCCACTCTGTCTCTGGTGAATCCTCTCACCACCCACACCTCTGGTCTATACCCCAGTTCTTATATGCATAAATAAATAAATCTTTAAAAAAAATTTGGGGGGGAGTCGGAGGTTATGCACAGAGATTAGGTCACCCCTAGCCTCTGTACTTGGATATTTTTTTTTGGAGGTGCAAATGATGTATATGTCATTACTATGTTAAAAAACGGACCTGTTTAGTTTTATTTTGTAGGGTGGGTATCAATTAGATAATGAGGCAGAACCTGAACTTCTAGGTTGAGATTATTGATCTGAAATTATGTGGAAGCTCAGAAATGTTAAATAACTTTTTTTTTCTTTTTTTTTTTTTAAGATTTATTTATTTAGGGCCTCCCCCGTGGCGCAGCGGTTGAGCGCTGGGTTGTGAAGCTGCCTGCAGCCTCTGCAGTGCTGGTTCGATCCCCGGCTGCTCCCCGGCCACCGGAGGAGGGTCCCACATGGTACGCAGACCTCTCCTGCCGCCCGCTGCTCCCCTCAGCAGTGTACTTCAGTCCTTCTGCCTGCTCTGCTCCCCGCTCTGACTCTGGTGAATTCTCTCACCCTCCCGTGCCTCTGACTGTACCCAGTGCTTGTATAAATAAATAAATAAATAAATAAATCTTTAAAAAAAAAAAAAAGATTTATTTATTTATTTATACAAGCACTGGGTACAGTCAGAAGCACGGGAGGGTGAGAGAATTCACCAGAGCCAGAGCAGGGAATAGAGCAGGCAGACTGACGAAATACACTGCTGAGGGGAGCAGCGGGCGCGGCAGGAGAGGTCTGCATGTCATGTGGGACCCTCGCCCGGCGGCCGGGGATC